CCACTCACCCTTTTCAAGAAAGAATGGTGGGTTTGTTTTTAGCATACATATAAAAAAAAGTATTGGGCTTCTCTGGAACATGTACTTTGATCCTAGCTGCGTTGACCGAAGGAGTCAAGTTGCCTCATGACTGTGCACTTTGACCCTTAATACTCTTCACTCCAACATAATAACTTTTGTTTAGGACAGTACTACCAAGTAGAGCTCAAAGATGAATATTCACGCAAATTATCTTAGGGACGTATATATTCATTCAAGAAAATTACCGTGCGGTGAGTGAGCACAGATCAGCCCAAGTTCACCTCTTGGCCCAGTCATGTAGATCAAACTTGAATAGATTAGTATTAGGCCCACCTGATCACCAAGCACCACCCATTTTTCTATACATATAAAAATCCAGCAAAATAAAGCAATTTGACCAAAGTGCTCCTTTTTAAACTCTTCCAAGGCCCACTCCAACCTTCTTGACACGATATCGGCACGATCGTGACTCGGCACATCTCTTAACTGTTTCCATAATTATAACGACTCAAAGCCCGTCCATGCAATCATCGCACTCACGTAAATGCAAATTACAGTCGTAACACTAAAAGGGCACGTGCACGTGTGTAAGTATGCGCGTGCTGTGTGTGTGTGTGTGTGTGTGTGTGTGTGTGTGTGTGTGTGTGTGTATGTGTGAATGTGTGCACGAGCGCGCATGTGTAAATGTGTTCGCGCTTGGGTAATGCATGTAGTGGTTGAGAGTCTGGCATTACTTCATGAACTACGCGCTACCCGAAATATTTTACGATTTTCTATTAATGGTGCCAATGCTTTAAAGTCGTACATTTAGCCTTAAGGGTAAAAAGGGGGAAATTAAGAAGAACGGCAAGCGCGATACATGTACGTTAAAGAAAATGCAAGTGTAGATGAATATTTCTGTTATTTATGCCACCAGTTAAGTGGTCTTGGTTGCTCCTTCTACAGGTAGGCGAAAAAGGGGGCCGGGGTGTAAATATATGCTGATTTAATTTGGCAGCAAAAGAAAACGAGGAAATCAAAGGCATCTAAAGTGCGTTCACTGTGCGCTTGCACTTTACTTTACTCACGAACACATTCCTGGATGGGAAGTCGGCAAGTCAGTTTTGTTTTAGAATCTTGCATAAAGGCAAAGACAGCGAAATAATTTTTAGCTTTTTAACAATGTGCGCCAAGATAACTGTCGATTAAATAAATCTACCGCTCAAAGCCGGAGGAAGAATGACAGAGTGAGTGAGTGAGTGAGTGAGTGAGTGAGTGAGTGAGTGAGTGAGTGAGCGAGTGAGCGAGTGAGCGAGCGAGTGAGTGAGTGAGT